TCCACTTTCCCAAAAACTGAATTTAAGCATTATTTTAGGAAAAAAGAAAAATGATTATTATAATTTAATAACTCAAATTTCCAGACTGCAATTTGAAACAAAGAGAAATATCAAATAAAAATTTTCATAAAATACCTTAAGGTGTATTTGTATATTGATGGAAAGTCATGTATGGTATACAATTCCCTTTCAAGAGTAACATTTATAAACAGCTAAAATGAACATAAGTATATTGTATACAGTTTCATTCATCAAAATGTTAAAACCCGTTAACAGCTTTTTACTTACTTCATTGTTTGGTGATTGTAAACAAATGTCTTTTTTTTGGGGTGTTGAAGAAAGCACTGATTTTGTAGAATTTGTGCTAAAATCACTAGCAAGACCTGAAAGAAAAGTGTATTTTGAAAACAAAATATAATGTAATACCTATTGATTACAATTAAAAGTAGCACTATGTGACATATAAAGAACTATCCATTGACTCTCTAACATTATTTGCTTAAATGAAGTAGACATTAATTTGATATTCAAATGTTCCTTAAAAAAAAAAAAACACTTAATGAACACAAAAAAATAGAGAATTATCTGTTGACGATAATGTGTATGGTAATGTCTTTGACTGGACTGATATGCACTATATTTATGCTGGGAAGATTCATTTTGTATGCTGTGGGGATGTGCAGTGATTAAATGTTCAAAAAAATTTTAATTAAAAAAAAAGTTCTAAATTGCTAAATGGCACCAGGAAATGACAAGGGCAAACAAAATTCCTCAAGTATGAGCCAGCTCTTCTTTCACAGGTTGTGTAGAAGGCACTTTCATTCTAATACCTTCTGAAAATAATCAGCACTTGCCGTAACTCATCATTTTCTTAAAAAATGGGATGCAAATCAAAGATTATCCCAAACTCTGATGATCCTAAAATTTTGGCACATTTATTTACCTTACATTAAATACTTTTTCTTGTATGTAATTTTGTGTGGGTTTCCAGATTACAGGATTTTAGTGTGAATGAAAGGGAATAACAGATTATTGTCAAATTATTGTAATTTTTGCCTGTACTCTCTTAAGTGCGACAAAGGGTATATGAAAGATTGCATATGTATTCAAAATTCCAGTTAAAATATTCTACATATATTTAAATACTAGAATAAATATTCTGTATTTGATATTAACATGAGAAATTTATACTTTAATTAGTCCCAACCTCATAAGTCCACCTAGAAATGAAGCCTTACTTTTTTCTTCAAAACAGTCTTGTAAGATTTCTAGTATATTTTTGCCTTGCTCTGTATTAATGTCAGGTGCCCTGGTAAGAAAGAAAGAAAAATGTATTTTATTATTTTTAGGAGACATTCATTATTTCTGTTACCATCTATGTTAAAATTCCATTACCTCGGGACCAGCAATTAGTGTAATGGCTATGACACTGGACTCCCATGTAGTCGACCACGTTTCAAGTCCTGGACCCGGTGGCTTAAACTCACGCCAGGCACGTGTGCATGCATGCCCAAGATCCTGAGAGGAGAATGGAGGGGAAGGGAATGCAGTGCGGCCATCCCTCCTGGGGAGTGATTTCTCGTTTTCTGTCTCTCTGTCTGTCTCTGTCTTTCTGGCAAGCGCATATGCCCTATAGCAAAAACCTCTCCAAAAAAAATAATAAATTCCATTATCTCCATATTGTAAAATATTAATTTACTTCATAGAAAAAAATAGCTTGAGAGTTCAAGCATTCCCTCAAGTGAATTTTTCCACATGAGTGAAATAGCATATCATTGTTTACATAATCAATTACATCCCTTATTTGACCAGCCATGTCTAATGCTATATTAGAGTACTGCTGGTATCTCAAGTACATGAACTTTTCTTTATATTTCCCACGGGTCCTAAAATGCTTCTTTAAAAAAGCCTCTCTAGAGTTGCAAGTTTCACATCTCCAACATATTCTTCACTATAGGCTCTCAAATGCACTTTTTATTCAGTTATCATTCATCTTAACAGAAACTTATAAATCAAAATAAGATATTTTTAGTTAAAAATTAAATTGATCTGGGACCAGCAGATGGCATAATGGTTATGTTGCTGGACTCCCACGTAGTTGACTATAGTTCAAGTCTCAGACCTGGCAACTTAAAATTCACACAGGGTACATGTGCATGAGTGCCCAAGATCCCAAGAGAATGGAGAAAGGATTATGCTGTGGCCATCCCTCTCCAGGGGTGATTTCCTGCTTTCTGTCTCTGTCTCTCCAGTGAGTGCATGTGTCGTATAGCAAAAATCTCTCTTAAAAAAAAATTATATTGGGACCAGCAGTTAAGTGTAATGGCTATGTCGCTGAACTCCCACGTGGTCGACCACAGCTCAAGCCCTGGACCCGGTGGCTTAAACTCATGCCGGGCACGTGTGTGTGCGTGCCCAAGATCCCAAGAGGAAAATGGAGAAGAAGGGAATGTGGCGTGATCATCCTCCCTGGGGGGTGATTTCTCGCTTTCTATCTCTTTGTGTCTCTCTGTCTTTCTGGCGAGCACACATGCCCTATAGCAAAAACTTCTCCAAAAAAAAAAAAAAAAGAATTATTTTGATCTGAGGCCAGCAGATGGCATGATGGTTAAGGCACTGGATTCTCACATGGCAAACAGCAGTTCAAGTCCAAGACCTGCAGGCTTGAATATCATGCTGGGCATGTGAGTGCATGCCTAGAATCCCGAGAAGAATGGAGGAGTAGGTAGTGTGGCCAACCCCTCAGGGGGTGATTTCTCACTTCTCTTCTATCTGTTTCTCTCTGATGAGTACACATTCTATGGCAAAAAAGAAAAAAAATTTTATTGATCGACACTGGCAGTAATGCAACTAGACCCTGTTGGGAAAGGCCCTGAGTTCACCTCCTAGAATCTTCCTGAGCACTTGAGAGAACCCTGTTGAGGGTACCTGAAGACAGTGAATTAATGAGCCTAGAAAAGATGCCAAGAGCTTAACATACTCACTTTCTGGCTCTATTCAATTCATCTGATCTTGAGTCCTACTCGACTCAACATCATTTGCCCTTTTAAATCAGGTCTGTCTGCTGCAGAGAAACCATACTATATTTATAATTTCGGTTCCTTTATTTATAGCACTGTACATGCCTGGAAACTAAATTAACTTCCCCTTTAAAAAATCTATTCAAGGGGGGGACCGGCAGGTGGCATGGTGGTTAAGGGCACTGAACTCCCACATGGCTGTCAGCAGTTCGAGTCTTGGACCTGGCGGCTTGCTTTTCTGCTTTCCCTCTCCTCTCTCGCTCTTGCTCTGCCCCTCTCTGATCAAATTAAAATAAATGAATAAATAGATAATGGTAAATAAAATCATTCTAAAACATAATAATGAAAAAAAATCTATTCAAGGGGAGCCAGCAGATGGAGTGGTGGTTAAAGGTGCTGGACTCCCACAAAGCCAACCACTGTTTCAGTCCTCGACCTGGTGGCTTGCTTTCTCACTTTCCCTCTCTCACTCTTTCTCGCTCTGTCTCTCTCTGTTCTAATTTTAGAAATAAATAAAGTTAAATAAAAACTAATTTTAAAAAAATCTATTCAAGAGCCACCAAAACTACCCTCATCTCACTTTAAAGCATTCCTAACATCAATCATTCACAAATCCCTTCCTAACTTCTTACATAGCTATCTATATTGCAAATCTAAACTTAATAACAGAGCAGTGTGAAGAAGAAGAGGCGAGGGCAACCCCCAGACCGACCAAAGCCTGTGCAGCTGCATCCCCTGCGTCCAGCACCTACGTCCCGCCATCGTCGCCACCATGCCCAAGAGAGAGGCTGAAGGGGATATATATTAAAGGAGATAAAGCCAAGATGAAGGACGAACCACAGAGAAGATCTGCTCCTCCAAAGCTAGAGCCCAAGCCTAAAAAGGCCCCTGCAAAGAAGGGAGAGAAGGTACCCAAAGGAAAAAAGGAGAAAAGCTGATGCTGGCAAGGATGGGAATAACCCTGCCAAAAATGGAGATGCAAAAACAGACCAGGCACAGAAAGCTGAAGGTGCTGGAGATGTCAAGTGAAGTATGTGCATTTTTGATAACTGTGTACTTATGTTGACTGTACAGTTTGAAATACTATTTTTTATCAAGTTTTATAAAAATGCAGAATTTTGTTTTACCTTTTTTTTTAAGCTATGTTTTTAGCACACAGAACACTTTATTGTTGTTTTTTGGGGAAGAGGCATTTATCACTAATAGAATATCTCTGAAGCTGGATTGATTTGGACATCTTTCCCTTCTAGTTTTGAGAGACTTCCTCTTGGCTCCCAAGAAGAGGGATTCCCTGACACACACAGCCACCTTGGCACAGATGCCTTGTGGTGTGGAAAACTTAACATTTGCTTTCATGTCCTCTCCCTCTCTGCCTTCAGCACAGACTTAACTCCCTTAAACCAGAGACCTGTTGAGGCCTGACCACAGAAAATTGGTTATACTAGTTTATCAGGCAATCTGGACTTTCCAATGACATTGAGATGGCATCCTTTAAAAATGCAGCAGCTTCTTTTCTATATTGTTGGATCTTCAGGTTGATAGTTCTGCCATTTTTATTTCCTCAAAGTCAGGGTCAGCTCGTAAAAAGTTGTTAAACAACATGCTGAATGTGAAAAGTCAACCCTCACTCTAAACTTTCCCTATTCAGAGCATCAAATGAAGACTTCACTGGGTTTTATAGTGGCTTTCTGAGTTTGGTAGTCTATTGAAGAAGGGAGTTTGAATGTTGTTGTATACCGTTAACGATTGTCTGCCCATGCCCTGCCTGAAATACCATGATTGTTTATGAAAAGTATCTTTAATAAAGCTGGATACAGCTTGGCTTGGGGGGGGACTTAATTACAAATAGGCCTACTCTCTATTACACACACGTTATTACTTCATTATTACAAAGAATATTTTTGTTCACTAGATCTTTTCTCAAATGTACATATGCATTTACCCAATTGAATGCAAGCTCCTAATGGGAAAAAGAACATATTCCTATCCCCTGTTGGGCCTAATAAAATGGAGGCTCAATAAATATTTGGTTATTTATTTATTTGTTTATTTTTGAGAGAGTCTTGCTATAGCGCATGTGCACTTGCCAGAGATTATAAAGAGAGACAGAGAGAAAGCGAGAAATTACCCCGTGGGGGGATGACTACACTGCAATCCCTTCTCCTCTATTCTCCTCTCAGGATTTTGGACACACACACACATATACCCAGTATAAGTTTTAAACTCCCAGGTCTAGGACTCGATTGCGGTCAACTACATGGGAGTCCAGCGACATAACCATTATATCATCTGCTGGTTCCGACATTTGGTTAATGATAATAACATTTTAAAAAGCATCCTGCTACAATTCAACATTGCACTAGAAAATTTAACTTTACAGATTTTACAACAAAAAGAATCAAAATACCCCAAATAAGTACCCAGCAAATAAATGCATAACAACATGCATTATTTTTCTTTATGCCCCACTGACTAGATTATCTTTCTAATATCATCACTCAATTCATTCTATAAAATATAATACTTTTTCCATAGCTCTCATTTAGTAAGAACTGAAACTGCATCTTTCTGATCCACCATTTCATCAGGCGAATTTTTCTTACTAAGTCATTATACCGCTTACAAAGATGACTACATGTGGTGGGCACAGAAATCATTATTTTAGTCAGAAGTAATAGTTTTTTTCTTTCTTCACTTAAGAATCCAGTTTCTGAAAAAGAAAATTAAAATCATCTTAAAAGCTTAAGTATATAAATCACCTGGAAGATCGGCAAAATCTTCTTCTGTAGTCATTTTTGAGGTGATCCTGAAAGAAAATTAAATCATCAATTTGATTCTTTTGTTTTAAATATATTAAAATACAAATTATCTCCTTGGTAACTTCACCCCAATCTGGGCATGCCAAAAAATTTCAGTTCTTTTACTCATTCAGCAAGTTGTTGTTCACTGTCTACTATAATACTATTGAGTCTTTAGAAGAAATATGATGCATTTTTTGCATTGAAAAACATAGAAAAATAACATAATGACTTTCCTGATAATCTAATATAAAGAAGAATTCTTTTGGATTAAGTGACTTATCTCCTAACTATTGTTATTACTTTTGCTAGTACGTACTACCTATCTCCACCTTGGGGTTGATTCCATTTTATTTCTCTTCCCTTCTATCTCCTCTCATATTCCCACACCTTTCACATTATTAAAATCCTTACTATAAGGGCTGTCAGGTGGCATGGTGGTTAAAGGCACTCAACTCCCACATGATCAACCACAGTTCAAGTCCTGGACCTGGCCACTTGCTCTCTCTCTTTTCCTCTCTCTCTGATGATAGTTAAATAATTTGTAAAAAAAAAAAAAAAAAAAAAAAAATCCTTACTATACCTGGGCTTCCAATAATTTAAGTTGGTAGACTAATGATATCTATATATATCCCTTCCCTGCAGAGATCTTACTAAAATAATAATAAATGACTAAAATAACAATGAAAAAGAGAATTAAAGAGAAAATCTTAATGTGGACAAATTGAAAAAATTTCTGAAATGGAAATACATGAGGAATGGTAACTAATGAAGAAGGATAAAAACAGTAGCTGTCTAAAGCAACCTAACAGGGTGCTGTCACTGAGGGCAAAGGAAGGTGATCTACCCAGGAGAAAGCCATAAGGATGCAAGACTAGGAAACTTAAGATCTGAAGGAGGCAGAACCAGCAGTTGGCGTAATGACTATGTCGCTGGACTCCCATGTAGTCGATCGTGGTCCGAGTGCCAGACCCGGTGGCTTAAATTCACACCAGGTGTGGTGTGTGCATGCCCATCCTGAGAAGAGAACAGAGAAGGGAATGCGACATGGCCATCTTCCCTGAGGGGCTGATTTCTCACTTTCTGTCTCTCTCTTTCTGCAGAGCGCACGTGCCATATGGCAAAAATCTCTCAAAAAAAAAAAAAAAAAGATCTGAAGGAGGCAAGGAATAAAACAAACAGGGTAGCTAAAGGAAAACCTATATACCAAACAGTAGACTCAAACTCCCCACTCTACGTAAACATGAGCTTATGAACAGTATTCCACTGTCTGTCTCAAATATAACCAACATCTGTAGATCATCAGACATTTAAGTGTCTGAAACAAAACAAGAAAATCAAGATAAAAATTTTAAAATTGAAAACTGAAAAAGGCATAAGAAGAAACTAATATCAAATATAGGAAAGGAGAAAACTTCAAAAACAAAAAGACTAATTAGTATTCAAGGAATATCTGAAATACTGAATTCATGAAACTAAATAAAGATACCACTTTAGACTACAATATATTATAAATGCCAATTAGGGAGCAAGAATATTCTTTTAATAATTAAAAACATAATTTCCTAAAACTGAAATAGGAAAAAACTTACATTTCTTTAAAAAAAAAAAGCATAAACTGCAAAAGGGAAAATGGGACAAAGATCCAAAAATCAGGATATCCAACTTCTGACCAACGGATTCTAGATAGAATAGAGTAAAAGAAAAAAGATACAGTCTAATAAAAGATGCAATCAAATTTTCCAAATCCAGAAGATAAGAAAAGCCAGCATAATGAATTTAAGAGATCCATAGCTAGAACCATAATAATGAAATTTCAAAAAACTGAGGCTAAAAAGATCCTAGAATGCTTCCAAAAAGAGCATAGGTATTCCTAACAAAGAGGTAGCCCCCATCAATGAAAATGACAGGAAACATAGATATACTGACACTGGAGGTGAAGAACACATGTGGGATACTTTGGGTCCTATAATTTAATTATAAAAGCTACAAAGGTAAACTTTCTAGTTGAAAATTGGCTAGAAATAAGATGAACAGCATGCTCTATGAAAGTATCGGGACCAACAGGTGGCATAGTGGTTAATGTGCTGGACTCCCACATGGTGGAAAGTGGTTCAAGTCCTGGGATTTGTGGTACATGTGCCCCCAGGCAAAAACTTCTTTTTTTTTAAGTGCTTTTTTTTTTTTTTTTTTTGGCTGTAGGGTGTATGCACTTGCAGATACAGAGAGATAGAAAGTGAGAAATCACCCCTTGGGGGGACGGCCATGCTGCAATCCCTTCTCCTCCATTTTCCTCTTGGGATTTTGGGCACACATGCACATGCGCCCAGAGTTTTAAGCCACCAGATCTGGAACTTGAACTGTGGACGACTACATGGGAGTCCAGCAATGTAACCATTACAGATCCTGCAAAAACGTCTTTTAAAAAAATTAAAGTTTTAGGGGACCAGCAGTTAGCGAAGGGCTTTGTCACTGAACTCCCATGTAGCCGACCGCGGTTCGAGTCCCATATCCAGTGGCTTAAACTCACGCCGCGTGCGTGTGCATGTGTGCCCAAGATCCCAAGAGGAAAATGGAGGAGAAGGGATTGAGGCATGGATAACCCCCCTGGGGGGGGGGTGATTTCTCACTTTCTCTCTCTCTTTGTGGCGAGCACATGCACCCTATAGCAAAAAAAAAAAAAAAAACTCTCAAAAATAAAAAATAAATAAAGTATCGGAACTAGCAGGTGGAGTAGTAGTTACAGTGCTGGACTCCCATTTGTTGGACCTTGGTTCAACTTAAAATTTACACTGGACATGTGTACGTGTGTCACCCAAATCACAAGAAGAGAATTGAGGAGAAGGGATTGTGATGTGGCAACCCACTGGGGAGTGATTTCTTACTTTCTCTCTCTGTGTTTGTCTCTCTGGCAAGCATAAAAAAAAAAAAAGAAAAAAAGTAAAGTATCAATCAATTCAATACCAACTATTTATTAAACTCTACTTCTACTTGATCCAATGGGATATAAATGTGCACATGTGGAAAAATTTAATAAACAAAGATATACTATTTGTTTTGGCTCATCTTATATTTATTTTCTCTGCCCATACCCTGAAAGCTACAGTTTTTTTTTTTTTTTTTTTGTGAGGG